AAAAAAAAAAAAAAAAAGGTTTGAGCTTTGGGTCAATACTCTTTCCCTGCCCCAGGCTTTGAAGAGATCCCAAGGTTTACAGTTCTATTACAGAATAACCTCTTCAGTGCCCTCATTCACAACGCTGAGTGAGTCTCTTCATTTTAAGATGGGGCACCATGACTGTAGAGCCTTTCATGTGACAGCTCCACAAAGTCTAGCACTGTCCACGTGGGAGAGGCCCTGGTCTCTGTCATAACAGCCCCTGACAGTTCTCCTTGTCTTACTAACTTCTTCCTTCCTTGGCACAACTCTCAGAACTACAGGAAAGACATTGCTCCAGTTTGGCGGGAAGTTCAGCACACATCTGACCAATGTCTCTATCTGTGGGAATCCAAAGTGAGGTCACTTGAAAGGAAATGGGCCTGAGTTAAAAGAGCCCTCCCTGCTTCCTGCAGGGGTAGGTTGCTGACAGAACGTGCCGTTTACCTCCCATGCAGAGGTTGACATCTGCAGAGGCTCCCAGCTGAAGCCCAAAGAATCTGGGCGTGCGAGTGTTGGGTCCCAGCCCGCTGCAGGAAGTGGGAAGGTGTGGCTCGGAGTCTCCAGAGTTTAATCCATGGCAGATCTGAAAGGGAAACGGTTTTGAGAAGGGTCTTTTATTCCCAGCACTCCCTACAAAAAACCAAGCAAACAAGCAAAAAGCCCTCCCAGCATCCCAACTGTTATCGAAATGGCCTTTGTTCTCCATGGAAAAGTATAGGCTGGAATGTACTTTCCAGCTTCTTTGCCAGAGTTTGTTGATGGAAAGATGCCTGGGTCCTTTAATTAAGGAGTGGCGAGGACTCCCAGGGGAAGGACAGATACAGTGTGGCCTCCTTCCCTTCCTTGCCTCTCTCTCACTTGAGAAGGAATGTGGCCCTCTAACTTACAGCATCAGCTCCTCCAGAGGGATTGGTATCACGTAGCAGTTAAGAAGCCAGGGTTGGGAGGCTGCAGCCTAGATTTCTGTCCTAGGCCTGCCACATGCTATCTGTGACCTGGGGTGGTCCTCAGCCTCTCTGAGCCTTAGTTTTCTCATTTGGCGTTTTTTTGTTTTGTTTTGTTTTGTTTGAGACAGTCTCATTTCATCACTCTCTGTAGAGTGCTATAGCATCAAAGCTCACAGCAACCTCAAACTCTTGGCCTTAAGTGATCTTCTTGCCTCAGCCTCCCAAGCAGCTGGGCCTACAGGCACCCACTACAATGCCTGGCTGTTTTCAGAGACAGGGTCTCACTCTTTCTCAGCTCGAACTCATGAGCTGAAGCAATCCACTTACCTCTGTCTCCCAGAGTACTAGGGTTATAGGCATGGGTCACTGTGCCTGCCTTAGTTTTCTCATTTGTAAAATGTGGGTGATGTTAGCACTTGTGTCACAGATGCACACGAGTCTCATACAAGGTAATCCACAGATGGCACTTAGCACGGTGTGGCACATAACAAGGCCTCAGTAAATGTACCTTATAGGAAGCTAGTCGATTGACTGCCTTTGTGAACCATCAAGGACTCACCTGTCCCAGGCAGTTCAAGTCCCCCAAATTCTCCAGTGTAGTCATGTCATAGGCTGGGGCTTTGGTTTCTCAGAGGGAATCAAAGCTGGGAGCACAGTGACTGGCTCCCTTGGTCCGGACCTCCACTGCCCAGGGGCACTGCAGCAGTGTAGCCAGACCCTGCGTCTTCAGTCTCATTGGCCACTCACCACCCCATCCTGGCCCCCAGAACAGGCCTGGGCTGTGCACTTGTCTCAGAATCTCTGGCAGCTACTTCCAAATGGTGATGACACATCTGTTCTTGCCTGGGCACTTTCTGGGAGGGAAGCAGAGGTGGCTGCCTGGGTTATTGGAAGTCATGGCACCCCTGTCATGGGAAGAAATGCTCATGTTATCTTCAAGGAGTTTCAGAAAGTTTTTGGCTTAAGGTAACCAATAGTCAGACACAAAGACAGCATTGTGTCTCTGCCCTCACTGTTCTCCTGTGCCCAGGTACACAAATTCCATTGTTGTCGAGGCTTTGGCTGGAATGGCATGTTCTCTGTAGGGGTGAACCATCAGAACCGAGCTGGAAGAACAAACTCTCTTCCATCCCAATCCTGACCTTCCACCTAGTCCTCTCTCACTCTCCTGGACCTGTAAAGTTGGCTGGAGCATCTCAGTGTGGACAGAGATGCCGCACCTCCTTGCATGACCAGGGAGGATGGAATAACTCTTTGAAGCTTTACTCGCCAGGTCCCTTGGAAGCAAGGGTTACCCTAGGTCTTGTACACAGGAAAGCATGTTCCTGGCTAGGTGGGCACTCTGTGAAGCCAGGGCAAAGAATCAGGCCACACTGAGCCTCTCCACTTGAGAAGATTTTCACATGCCAAGTGATGGGGCCCTCAGCCTCATTAATCCTCCTTAGTCACGTAGGAACGCAGGGAAGGGCAGCCTGCTTTCCACCCAGAGCACCCTTGGAGGAAGGTCTTCCCAGAATTTTGAACTTCCAGGCCCTGATCAGTCACACCTTAGCCCTGGGACCAGAGCCCTGGCCCTTCCCTTCACTATGGGTGTAAATTTGGGTGGAGACTCAGTCTGTTAACTAATTGAACAAATACTGAGCTCCTACTCTGTGCTGGGCCTGACCCAGGTACAGTGGATAGAGCGGTAAACAGCACAGCCTGCCCCCCAGCCCAGCCTTGGAGAATGAATGAAGGACATAGCCAAGGTGGTCATCTGGCGCCTGGTTCTCCCTGCACTAACCTTGCCAGCCTGGCCCAGCCCATCCTGGTCCCCTGATGTCTGTGCACATGTGTTTACGCTTGCATTGCTGACTGGGGTCCAGTTGTCTTCTGGCAAAGGCATCAAGAATTCGGAGATGTTCAGATCTTTCCCATTTGGCTCTTTTCCTCAGAATGTGTATACTTCAGAACGAGGCTCCAGTGTGTCCCTGTCCCTGAGCTGCAATCCAAGGGGCTGCAATTCTGGCAGTGTTCCCCTTGGGTCTTTCCCCAGTAGAGGAGACAGATCTCAGGACCAGTGGGCTACAGAAGCCACGTTGGCTACTGGAAACGGGAGGTGAAAGTTGATAAACTCCTCTCAGGCAGCGTTGAGTAGGACAGTGCTCTTCCACTGACCTCAAGTTCCTCATCAACCAGAATGATCCATCTGAGTTGGAAACCTGAGGTCTCTCCCTGTGCAAGCCCAAGCAGCCCCCAGGTAGGGAGACTAGGTATTTCCTGACATCCCACACACATCAGCACACGTGAGGGATTGCAGAAGACAGGACGGGAGCCACAGGCTGCAGCTCCAGGGCTCAGCGAACACTCGTTCCTCCAGAGGGTACCTAGTGCGTGTTCTAGACCTCTGGGAGAGCTTGAGTCTGGCCAAGAAATGCTACGTTTTAATTTCGTCTTTCGGAAAATAAATATTTTTAATATATAAAGGCACTACTGTCACATCAGAAGGGGAGAGGAGCCGTGTCCAGTGAAAGGAGTTAGGGCACTGTTACAGCACCCACACCAACACCCCAGGCTTCCCCAGGGTCAGTTTCCCCAGCTGCTGGTTTCCTATGTGCTTGGGGCTGCCTCTCCTCTCTGCTATGGGGTTACAGCCCCGCCAGGCACAGTGGCTCACACCTATAATCCTAGCACTTTGGCAGGCTAGGGTGGGAGAATCGCCTAAGGCCAGGGGGTTAAGACCAGCCTGGGCATCATAGCCAGACCCCAACTCTACAAAAGCTTTAAAAACATAGCTGGGTATGGTGGCATGCACATGTAGTCCCGGCTACTCAGGAGACTGAGCCAGGAGGATCGCCTGAGCCCAGGAGTTCGAAGCTGCAGTGAGCTATGATGATGCCCCTGCACTCCAGCCTGGGTGACAGAGTGAGATGCTATCTCTAAAAAAGTGAAAAAGAAAGAAAGAGAAAGGCCTGAACTAGGAGCTGGACTCTAGCCTGTTTTTACTGCCAGTTATCCCTGCGTCCTTACAGAAATCCCTCCCCTCTCTGGGCTTCAGTCTCCTCATTTGTAGCATGAGTCCTGCGCTGTCCTTGCAGAACTGTGGTGAGTTTATCTAAACCCAAATGTGGAGGGCTAAGGTTGATGGATTTAGACGCTCATCGGGTCAGTGTTGCTGGAAGGGTAGAGGTGGCAGAGACTAGTTGGGCTCTGATGGTCTCTGCAGAGAGGCACTCCCTGACCCTCACCCGCGGCCCAGTGAGAGTAGGGCTTCTGTAGACCCAGTGGCCAGAGTCTCAGGAGCAGCCAGGAAGGCTCGTTTCTTAGGTTATGGTTTTCAGTTAACAGCCAATGCCTTTTTTTTCCTTTTGCTTGAAGGACAGTTGTAAGCCCAGGCTTCGGAGAGCCCACAGTGTTCAGACCCCCCAGCACTGGTGTGGCCTTGGGCCTCTGTCCCAGTGACCTGGCCAGTACCCTGAGGCTGACAGTTACACCAGTTACACAGCTGTGAGGACTCTGTGCATGCAAAGCACGCAATGAGGAGGGCCAGTGGTTTTGGCTGCAGGGCACCTCAGCCCCAAGGCCCAGCTGGCCAGCCTCTGAGGGCCACTGTCCTGGCCGGGCTACCCGTGCTGCTCTGTAGGGAGAAAGGAGAGGCCTCTAGCCTGGTCTCTGTCATTAGCCTCTCGGACATCACAAGAGACTGTTGTTGACACCCCAGTTTGTAGATAAGGAAGTTTGGGCACCAGAGAAAGTGCTGGACTTTATCTTCATTGCAAGTGGCAGCCCTGGGACCAGGACTCACTGCCATTCAGTTTCAGTATTGCTAGTGCCAGGGAGTTTGACCACTAGTCACAAGTTCAGAGAGCCTTGCCTGAGTGAGCAGTAATAGTGTTGGTGTTCAGAGTGTCCCAGCTCACAAGGCTACTGTGCGCAGACAGATGGGCGAGCCACAGCTAGTGAGTGCTGAGATGACCCTGAACTCCAGACCTGCCATCTTCCTCTGTGCCCTGCTGCCTCCTTGGGTGGGATTTGATCACATTGGAAACACCCAGACTGCCCCAGAGTGGGGCGAGAGGAGGGTGCACCTCTCAGCACCTTCACTCCCTGTGTGGCAGAGCAGAGCCACAACCCGCTGCTGCTTGCCTGGCTGGCCAGTCTGGGAGGGGGGTGTTTCTCCCTAAGTCAAATACTTAATTAGTTCGGGAACAGGTGGGTCTCAGGTCATTAACTGTCTGTCGGTGCTTGTGTGAACTGGACGGTGTTGTTTCTGCAGACTCGGGGGAGGGTGTGGAGAGAATTTCAGAAGCCCAGGAGACTTTTTCCACCTCGTTTATAAAAAGTCCTTTCTCAATGATTGAGTTATCTCTTTCTCTTACAGGTTGAGAGAGACTTTGAGAGGGAGTATGGAAAACTCCAGCAGTGAGTGTCAAACCCCAGAAGGAGGAAGCGGGAGGCAGGGAAGGCCAGGAGCCCTGTGCCAGGTCTCGCTCTCGAGGCCTCATCTTCTCACCACCTTTCATGGATTGCTTCTCTGCCCCGTTAGCGCCCTGGGGGCTGAGGGCAGCTGGTTCACCAAGCTGCCAGGAGCTCTCCCCAGCGCCTGGCCATGCGAGAGTCGTTAACTCGTAGCCTTTGGGTGGGTCCTGGTGCAGAGTATGTAGTGGGCTTTAGTCAGCAGCAGAGTCCCTGTGGAGAAGGCCCCTTCTCCTCCCTGGCATGCATTAGCTCAGGTGGAGGGCAGAGAGGGGCCTGCAGCGGCATTGAGGCAGGTGCCCAGGCCCGTCCCTGCCTTGCAGGCTGGAAGAGCAGACCCGGAGGCTGCAGAAAGACATGAAGAAGAGCGCGGACGCCGACCTGGGTAGGTGGCACTCCACTGCGTGACTGGCCTGGGCGGGTGGGACCAGAGCTGGGCACCCTCCTCCTTCCGCCCCTCTTGGTACTAACTATGAAGTCACTACATCCAGAGGTCACCCAACCAGTGTCCCTGAGAAGTGGCCCGAGGTCACACTCCTCACTGACCAGGTCTACTTCTGATGGGGCTCCCGCTGGATGTGGGTGCTGGGATCCCAGTCCTGGCAGGAACACAGTCAGTAGGAGCTTCTCGTCGCAGAAGCCACCACATCCTCTGGGCCGCCAGCTCAGGCTGTCCTGGGGGAAAAGGCAGCACATCCCCTCCTGTAGAAATAAGTCCCTGGCCTGGTGGGACTAGTGTTCTAGTGGTGACAGGAACTAAAGCTGATGTCAGGTTGAAGTGCAGGACCACATACAGTTCAGAATAATTTTATTGTTACGAATGGCACTAAAGGGTCCATGGAGCTGGCAAGTTTCAGGAAGCAGCCAGTGACCCTGAGAGGTGCCTGGGCTGAAGAGTTGCTGTGTGAAACCAGAGGAGACCCAGGAGCCCGGAAACTGAGGTAGCCTTAGAGTAAGGGGATCCAGAAGCCTTGTCTGCGGGCCGTGGCCCAGGGAGCAGGCAGCGGGCGCTGGGAGTGATGGGGCCCCGCTCCTGACGTTCCTTCCAGGAGCCTTTGACTTATATATAAACACACATCTTTCCTGCAAAGGGCTCATAGGAAAGGAAAATGGTCCTTCCCTGGGAGCAGTGGCGTGGGTGAGAGCTGCCTGCCTGTGTGGGGACTGCTGGCCCTGTTGTGGCATAGATTGTCACAGCAGTGCTAACCCCGAGGACGTGGGCTGTTCTGAACATGACCTGCCCCTCACTCCTGGCCCCTGGCGTCTCCAGCCTATGTGTGTCACAAACCAAAGGCAGATTAGGGAGTGTGTCTGTTATTGTTTGTTTTGTGGTTATTTTGGTCTGAGTTACTTGGGCTGCGTTTGTCTTTCTCCTTCCCCGCCGCCGCCTGTCCAGTCAGGAGCTGCTGTGACCTATTATTCCCTTCCTGCCTCTCCACGCTGCACTGTCAGAGCATAAATGAAGTGAAGGTGTGTTCTGTTCAGAGCAAGTTGCTTTGGAGCCAAGTAGAGCGTGAGGGTCCATGGTGAGGAGTGTGGCTGTGGAAAGCTTTGTTTCCAGCAGAGAAACCAGGGTTAAGGGGGGACCCTGGGGCCTAGGATTGCCAGCCTCAGTCAAAAGCGGATGTGGCCAGAGAAAGCTCCTCCGAAAAACCCACGTCCTGGCTGGTCACAATACCTGATGGCCAGACTGAACTCTCACACGAAGGCATCTGAGCCATGGTGGGTGTCCTACACGGCACACAGCTGGGCCACTGCCCAGGCTCTGATGCATTGGGCTGGGTGAGGCCTGGATATGTCTCCAGTGATTCCCTGGGTGAGGCTTAGGCAGCAGGGCTAGGCCCACACGTTGAGAACCACTGATCCAGACAGCTGAGAGGAATGATCCTTTTCCTGATCTTGGTATCTCCTGAGCTCCCAGGACAAGATCTAAAACCCCCAGCTCAGCAGCCACCTGTAGCTCAGTCAGCAGACATACACCTAGGGTGGTGGGTTCAAACCCAGCCTGGGCCTGTGAAGCAACAATGACAGCTACAACCAAAAAATACCCTGGCCAACGTTGTGGCGGGTGCCTGTAGTTCCAGCTACTTGTGGGGCTACAAGACAGTTGTGGAGGCTGAGGCAAGAAAATGCTTAAGCCCAAGAGGTGAGGTCGCAGTGAGCTGTGATGCCACAGCACTCTACCTAGAGCGACAGCTTGAGACTCTGTCATAAATAAATAAATAAATAAAATACAATAAAATAAAATCCCCAGCTGTTCTAAAAAAGATCACCTTTTTTTCAGAAAATCGTATTATTTTCAGGATGATCAGTGTCTCTTAGATATTTGGATCTTACACTCCAGACTCCAGAGACTCATGTGGGGTCCCTCACTTTCTCTAAGGTCCAAAGATTCCCCCCACCTCCCATTTTGGGCCAGTCTGACCAGGCCCCTGTCCTAGTCCTTGCAGGGCAAAATGAGGGGTGTGGGTTGGAGCAGGGAGCATTGGTTTCCAGAAGCATAAGGGGCTGGTGTTCTTGATATCACTGGCATGGGCTGCTATGATGGCATCACTGGGTAGGGATTCCAGACCCAGGTCTCCCAGGGCCTAGTGGCTTGCGCAGACTCAGGTCCTTGACTTCTGTGGTTCCAGCAGACACCAAGAGCTTTAGGAGAGAAAAGGGAAAATGGGAAGGAAGGCTTCTCTTCTCCTCTCTAGCTTTTTGGATTGTTTTATTCAGATACAAAAGAAAATTAGAAGACATTTTTCAGAAATCCCCGTTTTATACAGGTTTTTGTTCTCCTTTAATTGTGCTGTCTGTGATCATTTCATAATCAAATCAAGATACACATAATGTTTGTTCCTAAACCTACAAAGTCTCTTCACAGAATTTTGAAAGTGTGTTTTCCTCCATTGCTTCAACATTTCTGGAAAGTTTACATTTCTAGCCTTCTCCCACAGTTTGCCCTTTTGCTGGGTGACGGCAGCACTCGTTCCAGATTCGAGAGAAACCCCAGGACGGTGCTCTGGGCAGATAGTCAGGGTGTTTTGCTGGCCTGTGGAGGGGGCTCAGGGAGGGAGGAAGGGCCCCCTGGGCTTCTGTTTCTCCTGCCTGGAAATGGAGAGGCCCTCTCCTTGGGGAGCACAGGGCTGGGGTTGGGCGTCTTCCTGTGGAGCAATGCGGGAAGGTCATATGTAATTAGCTGGGAGGTGGACCTTATGTCATTGATTCTAAGACACTTTGTCACATCTAAAGTCTCTGAAAGCAAAGTATCATAACACTGGAGAGTATGTCCTGGTTTGATCAGCAGCACTTTTTTTACTAAGCGGTTTATACAGTGGTGGAGGCCAAGAGCTCCAAAGCTGCCAACAGCTCTCCATCCTTGGTCCCATTCAAGTTTTCAGGTCTCCATTATTTGCACACAAAATTCTAGAGGGACAGAAAAAGACCCCAGAGAAGGGCCACGATGGCCTGGTATCAGCAGGCCAGAGTATGTCTGAGTGAGCCTCAGAGAAAACATGACTTTCGTTGTAATCTCTTCCTGTGGGAAGTCATTGAAACCAAGGGTTGGCAAGCTACCAGTGCAGGCCAAATCTGACCTAGTTTTGTCAATAAAGTTTTATCAAAACACCCATCCCATTATGTTATCTATCGCTGTTGTCACAGTGCAAGGCAGAGTCAAGAGGCTGCAACAGAACCCCCATAGCCCACAAAGCCTGAAGTATTTACTGTTTGGCCCTTGACAGTAGAATTTATGGCAGCCCCATGCCTTTATGTTACGTAAGTGGACATATAAACTAGAGTACTATTACTTTGTCTCTGAAAGCTTCACCTCCAAACCTCCCAGAGATATTTTTAAATATGCATGTTCTCAGGTTCTAGATTTATTGAATTAGAATCTGTGGAATCAGAACCCAGGTGATCCTACTGTGACCCAGAGTTTGGAAACAGGCAGAGCTGTTCAAAAGAATTCCCCAGAGCAGCATCATATAGTCGAGAACAAACAGTAAACAATAAGAACCAGCCTCATATGGCTTGGCAGGGCTTTGTCGTCTTGCTAGAGGGCCAGGATCACTGGAGTGCAGCCCCTGGGCCATAGGAGCACCCACTCCTGAGGTAAAGACCACGAACCCTGCCCCATCAGAGGTTCACTGAGCTCTGACTTCTCACAGCCATGTCAAAATCTGCTGTGAAGATATCCTTGGACTTACTCTCCAATCCCCTCTGTGAGCAAGACCAGGACTTTCTGAACATGGTGACAGCCCTGGACACGGCCATGAAGCGGATGGATGCCTTCAACCAGGAGAAGGTGACTAGGTGTTGGACTCTGGTGGCCAAGCATGGCTTCCCCTCCCCTCTCTCAGCCCGGTCTGGGTGGTGGCCTTCGCAGGCTCAGTCTGCTCCTAGAGCACTCTGAGCCCCGACTGTGGGCCGTAAGCACATGCCCAGCTCTTTCCAGACGGCTCAGCTTCAGCACCAGCTGCTTCCCAAGGCTCCGAGTTCATGTCACTCCCAGGAAGGCCTGAGGGAGACTCAGCAGCTCTGCTGACCCTCAGCCCTGAGCCTCATGTAGCCCCCACCCGCCCTCTGCGCTGAGCAAGGCAGACGGTGCTGGCAGGACAAGGGCAGTGCTGCTGCCGCCCTTCAGGCTGCCTGACTGTCACCTCTGCCTCACCGCAGCTGTGGTTAGGAGTGGCTTGCCTTGCCTGTCCTCCATCCCCTTGTTGCTGAGAGTCTCAGGGGACCCTTGACAGCTCTCTGTCTTCTGAGGAACTTGGTGCCTCCCCTCTCCAGTTTTAATATTATTTGGTCTTTCTTTTGACAGGTGAACCAGATCCAGAAGACTGTGATTGAACCCTTAAAAAAGTGAGTGACGGTCATCTAGAGACCATGGGCCTCAGGGCACTTATGGGAAAGGCAGATCAGCTGGCCACTGGGGACCAAGCAGTGTCACTAGCAGCCAGTGCCCAGACTCCCATGGGGACTGATGGGAAACTCAGTGGAGACACCAGTGGGGATCTGTGGCCTAAGGGATGATGCTCCAGGTTGTGCTGGAGCACCTGGGGTGGCCCAGACGTGCCGGGGGTTGCTGGGTTGAGCTGGCAGACATGTTGGCCAGCCCTCAGCAGACATGAGCAAGGCCTTTCATCTCGCTCTGCCGGATCGGGAGAGCAGCTGCCTACAGCACTGGGCTTTGGAAATGTGGGGGTGGCCGCACTCGGGGAGGGGCACAGCGGCTGGGTCCTGCCTGGGAAGTCCCCCAGCTTGTGACCTGTCAGGGTCAGGAATTCTTCTGTGAAGCGCATCTCCTGTCAGGCAGGCCCTGGGCAGTGATCAGACGGGCCTATTCCCTGAGTCCCCGGGGTGGGGAGAGCGGGCCGCAGCCTTGCCTTGAAGCTCTGGGATCACTTCATCTCCTTCCCCGGCCTCTCCCAAACAGGCTGTGACCTAGAAAGGCTCCCACTGCAGCCAGCTGCACTTTATTACCTCTTCTGTGGTGGTCCCTGGCAGTTGCCTCGCAAGGGCCTGGGTAATGAGCCTTTGCTTAATTATCATTAGGCCTGGATCAGGGCCCAGAGGGGGATGAGGAGTGGTTTTGAACCTCTAGCCCCTGATGTTGGGGGCTGTTGGGCTCTCCTTCTCCACTCTGGCCTGGGGTGTGGGAGTAGGAAAAGGCACTGCTCACCAGGCCCTGTGGAGGCTCAACAGTGTCTGAGAAGAAAGAGGTTTCTCCTCCCCATCTGCCCTGCCCACTCCAACAGGGCACCCACTACCCCTGCCTGCAAGTCACAGCTCAGCCCCACATCATAGGGTCACACGGAGCTGGTACAGGAGCTCCAAGCTTGTGGCTTTCCATCCTGGGCTTGAGGACACATGGTTCAGGGTTGGGTGGAAAGAAGCACAGAGGACTCTTGTGTGCCTGGGCTGCAGGCAGCCTGGGCATGGCCCCTGAGGTCGCCGTAGCCACCCAGCACTGGCAGAGCAGGGAAGGGGATGCCAGCTCAGAGATCTGGGGAGCTGACTCCCATCTAGGTCTCAGCACCAGCAAGGCAGCCTTGAAATCTGATCGCTGCCTTCTGCAGCCAAGTGCAGAGACCCTGCTGCTTCCCCCACCCTCACGGCCCACCACCTGCCAGGAAGGTGGGGGTGTGGCAGAGGGGGCGGCACCATCTCCGCAGCAGATCCGCTGTCCTCTGCCTGGCTGTCCTCTGCCTGGCTACCCTGGCTGGCTTCTCCCTGTCCCCACAGCCGACATGCGATCTCCCCCAACCACGTAAAACCCCACTGCTCGCTGCCTCCTCCTGTGGCTGTTTCTTGCCAGGAGAGGAGCTTCCAGGGACCCTAGCACCGGAAACAGGAAACTGCAGCTTTCCTGTCCTCTGATGAAGATCACGGCCACATGGCCACCCTGCCGCCCCCAGCCTCTCCCCAGGGGGCTCGGCCTCTAATCCCCCTTCCCTGGGCCACATTCACATGTCGGATGGGGATGCTTTCAATTTCCCTTTCCTGGTGGGTGGAAGATCCCGGCTGCGTGGGCACAGCCAGGGCATGGCAGGCATTCCCCACAGGGCCGGCTGTGCCCAGCCCACCTCCCAGCCGGCCTCCCAGCCTCCTCCCTCGCCTGCTCCCTTTTCACCCCACACTTCCCTGGGGAGCACGTTTGGTATTGAACCTTAGGACATGCACAAGGTGAGCAGTCATCACAGCTGGGTGATGTGGCCAGTTCTATCCCCACTTCTCTGAGAAGTTAGAGCCACACAAAGAGCTTACTTACAGTGCAGTGGGGAAGCCACATGGATCTCAGGATGGCACACCCAGGTGGCTACTGCCCAGTGCCGTCCCAGCCTGCCTCCTGGCCTCAGAGTCTGTTTCCTCATCTGTGCAAAGAGAAGATGGAACTGGCTTATCAGAATGGTGTAGTCAGCCTGTGCTAGTCTCCACCCTGCCCCGCTGGCACCCAGACCCCTGGCCACATCTGGGGTGGGGTCCGGCTGTTAGACCAACCCCTGCCACGGCCCCATGGTACATACGCTGCCCACCCTGTGTAGTTGGCAATGTCCATCTCATTGCTGAGAAGTAGAAAACGGGGACATGGAGACTCAGTGGAATGGTGCCAGGGCCAGGGGATAGGGACCTGGTCCCCACTCTTTCAACAGCCACCTCAGGGAAAGCTGTGTTCCTCCCTAGACTGACATTAGTGATCCATTGAATGTAGAAGGACATGACACCTGTCTCCACCCCCAGGGAACCCCAGAGCCACCCAGGTGGTGAAATAGTCTTCACCTAGTGGGCTGGGCCAGGAGAGCCATCCACGGCCTCTTGGTTTGACTGCGGGGAGCTGCTGAGAGGGTCAGGAGTGATCACAGTGGAGATAGGTTCTTCCCAGTGGGGCAGATGTCAAACAGAGAAGCAATGTTGTGCCCTCTACGTCCCTGTCCCCCACAGAGGCCAGGGTGCAGAGGGCTGGCAGGGGAAGCTATGCTGAGAGCAGCCCCTGTGGACACAGCCTCAGGACCCTCTCCCCTCAGGAAGCATAGTAACCCCTGTGTCCACACCTCCCGCAGCCTCCCACTCTGCACGTGGACTGCTGTTTCCTGTGTAGGCCGCTCAGGTCTCCTAGTCAGCAATCCTGGTGGGTCTGACTCTGGCCCTGGAATAAACCCCATCTGAGCACCGGGGGAAGGGCTGTGGGTGTGAGCCCAGGTGCAGGTGCTGCTGGCATCACGGGCACCAGGCTTCTTGACCGACGAGCATGACGCTGGTCTCATCGTTCAGGCATGCTGTGGAATGCTCACACACACTTTGCTTCTCTCATTATGATACCCTTGTCCTGAGGATCCGCTCGTAGTGATGCACTGTGGCCCAGGAAAGCTCTCTCCCTGCTGCCTCCTGCCTGTCTCTCATCCCTGCTCTGTCCCTGTCCTGAGCTGCCCAGTACCTCCCAGGCAGCCCTCAAGGTAGACAGCCATGGCCCAGGTGCTGGGACTGCCCAAGCAGCAGGTGGCTTCCCACAAGAGGATCAGGGTGGCTGCTGATGGCCCTTGGCCATCTGGGGTGGAAGGAGAGAGGCAAGTGACAGCTTCTTAGGTCCCACTGCCCCCGCTGCCTGGAGCCACATGGCTCCCAGCTGCCCAGGAAGGCAGAGGGGCTCCCCTAGCAGCTGAGACTCCCATCATAGCAACTGCTTTGGGCAAAAGTAGTGAGCCCCACTCCTCCCAACAGTGTCACTTCCTCGTGGTGGGTGGCTTGGATGGCTGTGTCCTCGTGGTGTCTGGTTCCCACCTCCAGTGTGCACAGTGAGGTCACGCTATAGGTGTGCATGGCACTGACTGAGGAGGGCCACGTCTCCTGCCTGGCAAATCAGCCTGTCCATGTAGGTTTGATTACTCTTTCTAAGGGCTTGTGGCTGAGGATTCGGAGAAGTTTTGGTGTTTTCTACTTTGGCTTTCTGTTAGGTAGAGAACCCATTACGGACCGTTTCTAATTAGTTTTAGCAGCCTTTCTTAAGGGATAAGCCCATGGTTACATCAGTCTGTTCCATTGGCCTGCAGCTCAGTTTAGGGTATTTAATGCTTTGCCAGGTTTATATTCTCTATTCTCTGGCAAAGCTATTCATTGCTCTGACTTCACGTGTACTCTTATTTGAGGATTTTTAAAACCACACTCATGGTCATGTTCCGTTAAGAGGCAAATTTGGGAAATCACGCCTTATGTAGTATCAGGACTACCTGTAGCTCACCTGGGCACAGCCAGGTGCCCTCTCAGTCCTGAGTGAGGGGCCGGGTCAGGGAGCCCACCCTCAGCGACTTCTTCCTGCCCATATCTTTCATCTTCCCTGGGTTCCTCGTAAAAAACTCCATGAGAGGGCGGCACCTGTGGCTCAAGGGGGCAGGGCGCTGGGCCCATATGCCGGAAGTGGTGGGTTCAAACCCAGCCCCAGCCAAAAACTGCAAAAAAAAGAAAAAAATCTCCATGAGAAACTGATTCTTCTGGTCCTGGGTCACCCACTCTGCTTCTCACCCCTGAGTGGCCACTGAGTCAGCTGTGTGCCAGCCAGATCATATGCAGCTCAAGGCTCCCAGCTTCTGTGGTAGATGCCCCGCCTGCCGTTGAGCCAGGGGCCAGTGGCAGGCGGAGTGTGCTGCCACTCAGGTGTCACATTCCAGAAAGCTGCCCTGTCTTCTGTCCACTTCCAGAAACCCTGCTTGCAGGTTTTCCTTGTCTCTGGAACTCATATTAATCAAGCAAAATGTAATATCCCTGTCTGGGCCCATCTCAAGATGTCATCCTTTGTAGTTGAATATGACACTAGCCACAAAGATTTTTCCCAAGGGGGCCAAAAATGCCAGCCCATCTACTGCTGCTGCTTGTGAATGGCCACTCCCCTGAGGACCTCTTAGTCCTTCCTAGTCATGGTGGGCAGGTGTCCTGGAGTCACTTCCCTAAAACATCTGGTTGTCAGTGTGGCCATTCCATTGGTAGAAATGGGATTTCTCTGTTTCCCATGTTGCAAAGGAGCCCTTCTGGGGAAGCAGCCCTGGCCAGGAGGAGGCTCGGGCTTCAGTTCTGCCACCTGCCGGCAGTGCTCGTAGGGGTGGGAAAGGGCACCAGACAGAACTTGGACACCTGAGTTCTCTTCTGGCCCATCTTCACCTAACTGTGACCCCGGGCAAGTCATATGTCATTTCTCTGACCTCACTTTCTCTTTTTTATTTTATTTTATTTTGTTTTATTTGAGACAGAGTTTCAATGCTGTTGCCTTGTGTAGAGTGCTGTGGCATCATATCTCACAGCAACCTTAAACTCTTGGGCTCAAGCGATCCCCTTGCCTCAGCCTCCTAAGTAGCTGGGACTACAGGTTCTCATAACAACACCCAGCTATTTTTCTATTTTTCGTAGAGACAAGGTCTCTCTCTTGCTCAAGCTGGTCTCAAACTCCTGAGCTCAGATGATGCACTCACCTCAGCCTCCCAGAGTGCTCAGATTACAGGCATGAGTTCCTGCGCCCGGCCTTCTCTCATTTTTTAAAATGAAGCTGTTGGACAGGTGTCTTCTTAGGAGTCTTCCGGCCTTGCCATCCCCTGGCAGGGTCTCTGCCGTGCAGAGGCTTAGTGGGTCCAGCATGCTCGGTGCACATTTCTGAATGAGAGATGAGCTGCCAGGCTGTCCCTTCAAGAATAGGCTTGTGTGCAACCAAACTCTGTCCTGCAGGTTTGGCAGCGTCTTCCCCAGCCTCAACATGGCCGTGAAGCGGCGGGAGCAGGCCTTGCAGGACTATAGGAGGTTGCAGGCCAAGGTGGAAAAGTACGAGGAGAAGGAGAGGACGGGGCCGGTGCTGGCCAAGCTCCACCAGGTACTGGGGAGATGGTCTGGGGTATGAGGAACAGAAGGGAAGGGCCTGGCTGGGGGAGCATTGTGGTCACAGGTGCTAAATTCCTCCCTTTACTGGGGGACCAGACCAAGACACCACGTGCTGCACCCGGCAGTGAGAGCTCTGATGCCAGCCTCTTGTTCCCAGGCTCGAGAAGAGCTTCGGCCGGTGCGGGATGACTTCGAAGCCAAAAACAAACAGCTCCTGGATGAGATGCCACGGTTCTACAGCAGCCGGCTCGACTACTTCCAGCCCAGCTTTGAGTCTCTGATCCGGGCGCAGGTAAGACCAGCAGCTCCTGTGCACACACTCAGCCCCAAGGGGTGGTTAGACATTTCTCCGATAGGAGATGGTTGTAGGCTTGGTGGGCACATGGCATGCTGCTCCTGTTGTCCCACGCCAGAAGGAAGGTGGCTGAGCTGTTCTCCACAAAGACAGCGGTACCCCCTGCTACCCAGGTGCTGCCCTTGAGGGAATTTATTTCAGGGCCCAGAATCCAGGGCTCTGAAGCCTGGAGGGCTTGGACTGTTGACTGGAATTTCTGTCTGGGCTCCCACAGTGCTCTTAGACCAGCCCCAGCCCTGGTGTGGGTGAGGTTTCTTTCTGTTAACAGTCCCCTCTGTGTCTCTCTCCTCTCTCACTTTACCAAAACTAGGCAGCCCCTCTAGGTCTCCTTTGAGGGGGCAGGTTCTTTGCCCTGGAGGTTCCTGAGGAGACAAGGGGTCTGCAGGCTTGGAGGGTAGGGGCCTCTGAGGACAGGCAGCCACCTCAGTGCTCTTCAGGTGGAGACCACAAGGAGGCTTGACTTTGAGCTACCAAGGAAGGGGTCCCTGAACCCCTGGGAGAGCCACGCTCAGGGCTGCTGCCTGATGCACATGGCAATGGAAAGACAGGCAGGCCAAGGGTGGCATGGATGCCGTGGAGCTGGAACAGAAACACAGGGCAGGACCCAGCATATCCTGCTGCTTGAGTGGTAGGACCATGGGAGTGTGTCCCTCCTCAACCCCATTCATCCTCAGATCTGTAGCAAGGATCATTCTCCCCACTAGCAAAATATAATAGAAAGGTTGAAGTGCCAAAGCCATTCTCAAGGGATAAGCCCATGGTTTCATCAGTCTGTTCCATTGGCCTGCAGCTCAGTTTGGGGTATTTAATGCTTTGCAAGGTTTATATTCTTTATTCTCTAGCAAAGCTATTCATTGCTCTGACTTCATGCATACTCTTGTTTGAGGCTTTTTAAGACCTCGCACAGGACCCCACTGATGGCAGTGCTTGGTGTCAGCCTCAGGACCCCAACAGCCCATCACCTCCAAGTAGCCAGCCCCAGGTGTCATGTGTCCCTGGCCAATGCCCACCACTCTGCTCTTGGCCGGGCGTCTGGCGCCCTCCAGTGTACGCCGCTATTCCTGCAGGTTCCACAGTCGCAGGTCCCAGGACAGCCTCAGTCAGCCCTGTGGTTTTTTGGAGAATGCCAAAAGTCATAGCCTGGCACTTAGGGTCCGGGAACCTGAGCAGAGTTTTTGCTGGAGCTGGATCCACATCCTCGGTCCATGTCATTTGTGTCATCTCTAGGGGTCAGAGAAACTGAGAGCCACTAGGGGGTTTTCCCACACTGGCCACTGAGGTGAGGGCCCCTTGCAGTGGCACCCTCTGCCCCTAGGAGCAGGCTTGGGGGGTGGGGCTGTGCTGTCACCCCAGGGTTGCTCGCAGGAGGAAGCTGCAATACCCAGGCTTTGGCATGCCCGGGCTCAGCCGTGCAGAAGGCGAGGGAGGGATGCCCTGTAACCAGGCAGCAGGGGAGCCGGGGTTGTTTACCGCCCCTCAGCACCACCGCCTCCTCACCCGGCTGCGCTGCCCTTAGTCACAGCAGAAGAGAGCATTCCCCATGACTCATGTATGCCATGGCTTAGGCTAGCAGTTTGGGGGACAGGGTGGCAATCCCCTGCCCTCCCTTAGGCCCCTGGCCCTGAGGAGGGAAGATGTTGAGACCAGCTTCCTCTTCTACCTCACTGGAGGCATCTGGGGGAGACTTCCCCCATCCCAGTGGAGGACTCCAGGTATCTGAAGTAAACAGAGAAAGAGTAGGACTGGAGTGTGGGGACTCTCTCATCAAAGTGCATGCTTTTGTTGGGTCGTGAAGGGAAGCTGAGGCAGGAACAGCCCTGTGCCTCTCTTAGGAAAAGTTCCTGGTCATCAGCCACTGGGGAGAGTTGTGATGGGGCCCCTGTTCCTCTGCTCACCCTCAGCCTCTTGGCCTATTGTTCCTCTCCCATGCCTGTCTAGAAGGATCCATGGCGGTGAGCCTGGCCTCTGAGCTGCACCCCTGGCTGTGCACTCAGGCCATGAACAAGGGTGGGATATGAGTTGGAAAGTTAGGAAGGGATGTAAAGCTGGAATCATGTCACTCTCCTCACTTTTCTTCTAAAATTGGCTCTCAGGGCTTTGGGAACTGCCTTGTTCTTATTCTCCCAGTACAGAAGTCTTGGACATGTCTCCTAGCTTAGGAAAAGCAGTCAGGCCCAAGTCCCAGTGTCTGTCACTCCTCGGCCTTCAAGGACCCTCCACAGGCCTAGTCATACATAGGCTGGTCCCTTCCAGTACCAGCTGCTGGAGAGAACAGGAGCTGGAAGGGCCAGCTGAGCCTGTCTTTGCCCTGTGCTGCCTTGAATGCCTCGGGGCTGCGGCCTTACTCTGCCTGTGCTGCCAACAGTCAGGGAGAGGGGCCGATGGAGGGAGGCTATGGCCCCACTGGGCCCCACTATCCTCTTGGGCTTTAAGAGCTTGGTTCCCAGAAACCTGGCGCTGGCCAACACCCTCTCACATCTCCCTAGGTCGTGTACTACTCCGAGATGCACAAGATCTTTGGAGATCTGACCCAACAGCTTGACCAGCCAGGCCACTCGGATGAGCAGCGAGAACAGGAGAATGAGGCAAAACTGAGTGAGCTTCGAGCCCTCTCCATCGTGGCTGATGACTGAATTCCTGTATATCGCGTTTGGAGGACTTCTGGGACATGACCAGCCCTCTGATCCCTGCCCTCTTCCGGGCAGGCCCATGCTGTTCCCACAGGTTGGGGTGGAGGCGGCCCCAGTCTACCTCGGTGGCCGTTTGCAGTGAGCATCTTCCCCTGAGCTGCAGCCTCCCCACAGCCCCAGACACGGGTAAGCAGTATAGCAATCCCCCAGGGTTTTACTTCCAGAAGAACCGTCCAAAGTATGTCCTGGCCAAAGGGCAGGGCCAACTGCAGCCCCGCAGAGGGCATGGGCTCTGCCAGCTCAGCTGAGGTCTTAGCCCTGCCTGCCCTGCAGGGTCCATCTACCTCACCCCAGGAGTCCACCAGCCCCTCCACTCGTTGCCTTTTCACTTCAAAGACTTTACTGAGTAAAGGCCCACAACCCTGGCCCTGCCCAGGGAAGAGAGCACAGAGGCCCTCAAGACCACTTCCCAGCAAGACAGAGGCTAGTCCTACACAGCAGTGAGCCCTGGGTCATTCAGGTTATCCAGGCAACGGGGACTCAAAGCAGCTGTCCCAACACACAGAATGTCACACGTGAATTCATAGGCCGCTGAGCAGAACTGTAGATTTATGTCTCGCCTGGATATTTGGGATTTTATTTTTTCAAGTAAAGTTTTCACTAAAATATCCATGTAGTATTGTGCCATGACTCAAGGAGAGGGGACAGCCACACCGCTTCCCCCAAGGTCCTATCACCTGTGCTGAATGTTCTCTCCCAACTCTAGCAGGCAGCAGCCAGCCCAGCGCAGAAGCTGACGCTTCCCACAGCCCTGCCCACCTTCTGGAGAGAGCAGCACCAAGGCCAAGCAGAGCCTCTGGGCTGTGGGCCAGGAAGACGGGGCGGGCACATAGGCAAGCACTATGGAGGACACACTTGGTTTGTTTTTGACTTTGGTTTATTTAAAAAACAAAAAGCCAAAAAGAAAAAAAACCAACTTTATATACAAAGTCAAACTGAAACCACAGATTATGGAAAGAGGTGAGAATTATGGGTAAAGGGAGAAGGCTGGGCCAAAGCCAATACCACATTCTGAACACAGGAGCCGGGGAAAGAGGTGCTGGTTTCTTCTGGCAAGTCTAGGGTGGCTGGAAGCAAGTCTAGGGTGACTGGAACACAGTGTTCTATTGGCAAACACAGCCCAACACCGAGCTTCCCAGCAGACTCCACTCCTGTGGTGGCCAAGGGAGACCCTTCCCCCGGAGCCTGCCTGGAACCTAGTTAAGATTTGTGCCGTCCAAAGAAGGGGCTTCTTAGCCCCAGCCAGACTCCACATCTGTCTCTTCAGTTTATTGACATCAGGTCTTGTCACATACTCGAAAAGCCTTTTCCTCCCCCATCTTATTCTAAACCGGAAGAGGACAGGAGAAAGTCAGCACAAGACTAAAAGGGCCCCAAGAGAAGTTCCAAGGTTGAGGGCAATAGGACATTCTAGGGGTGCAAAAGATGTATTTAGTTGTAAGTGGAACTGAGGTTCCTCACACATCTGTCCCACATCGCACAGACCCCCACCCTGATGGCTCGACGACCTCTCCAGAGGCTGAGCGCAGGGTCAACCACCCCTGCCCATGGCTCCCAGGTCTTGCTCCAGCTGCTTTCTGGTACCAAAAGGGCTCCAACTTCGTCAAGCACCATCACTGCCCTTGCAGGATGGCAGCTCCTTTGCCAGGCCCCTCAGTTGCTCGGCGCAGGCTCCTCCTTCTCTACCCAACTGTCAGCCTGCATGAGACAGTAGGCAGGGGCATCAGGACAGGCAGGCTGCGCCAAGGCCTGCCGACTGCTCTATTCCATAAGGGACCCATGGAAGGAGGACAAAGGCGAGGTGACCAGGCCAGGGAAGGGAGGGGCAGTGAGTGCCCTCCAAGGGCTCGTGACTCCTCACTGGCAGGAGCTGCAACTGCTCCTGGTGTCCCTCCCTCACCTTTTCCACCATGCGCTGCATCTCCAGCTGCAGGGGTGTCAGGCGCCTTCGGAAGTCCTGCAGCAGCCGCTGAAGCTGGTTCTTCTGTCGTTCTGCCGTCCGGGCCGTCTCCTCGGCCTCAGCCAGCCGGGCGCGCAGCTCCTGCATCTCTGCGGCCAGTGTCTTGTTAGCTACTTCCGTGGCTGAGAAGCGGTTATGGCTCTCCTCTGAGAGGTAGGGAGGAGGGAAGACCAGAGACGGCTGCTCAGTCGAGGCCTGGTGCCCATGTTGGGGGCCTGAAGCCTAAGGAGTGGGGGTCCCCGTTGGTCTCTGCACATGCCACCCATGACGGCCCGCATCCCCAGGCCGCTCACCCAGCTTCAGTTCCAGTGTGTGAATCTTGTTCTCCAGGTAGAGCCGGCCACTGTCCTGCTGCTCGGCACGCTGCAGCAGGCTGCCCACATTGATCAGGCTGCCATTGTGGGGCACCAGGGCCTTGTGTTCTGTGGGGGCAGCACCTGCCTTTGTACTTTTCCCAGAAGGAGGCAACAGGTCCAGGTTTCCTAGAAGGGGCCATGAAAAAGATTTAAGGACTAGATCTCCAGAGGATGAAGCTATGCCTGCCCTGCCATTGCCCAGCAAGGCTGCAGAGCACCAGACGTACCAAAGAGCACCTCTTCAGGTAACCCGCCATCTAGGCCTTCCTGGCGACTGTACTGAAGGCTCCGGTACTGGCAGATGTTCTGTGTTACCACCCTGCTGACCAGCTGCTTGGCCTATAGAAAATACACCCAAACACCCACTGAATAGAAGGCACAGACCTCAACCCAGAGATGTGCAAACCCCTAAAGGGGGGGGGGTGAGCACAGGCCTGGGCATGAGTTAGGGGAGGCCCCCAAGAAAGGACAGGGCAGGGGAGAAAAGTTACCTGCTCTGCACTGAGCCGGATCCCCAGGGTCAGGAGGATCCTCTCCAAGTCTCGCCGGTGCAAGTAGCCACACCAGTTGGCATCAAAGAACACAAAAGCAAGAAGACAGTCCAAGGGGAGCACAGCAGAGGGATCCAGCTCCTTGGGCTGCAAAGGAAACAAAGATAAACAGGATTTACAAATAGTTTTCCTAGTTGCTCCATTACCCAGGACACAGCTCTTTCAAATCAAGCAGCCCGTGCCAGGCACACTGGCACAAGTGTGGGCCCAGCTACCATGGAGACTAGTTTTAAGTCCAGCAGTTAGAGGCTATAGTGTGCTATAATCCGACCTACGAATGACCACTGTACTGCTGCCCAGACAATATAGCAAGAACCTCGGCTCTTTAAAAAAAAAGGGGGGGACAACAAAGATGCCACACCTGCCAAGCCAGGAAGACTTGGCTTATGACCAAAGGCCACTTTGGAGCACCTGCAAAAAAGAACTTCCTATGCTTCTCTCTCAGGAGAGGATCAGATACCTCCCTCTGACTGACCCTGACAGAGACAGTGAAGTGTTCTGGAGCCTGTGAACATGCCCGTCCATAAGCTAAGAGGCACATTTTGTCTTTGGTCCATCAAGAGAGAAGTCATCAGTAAGCATCCTTCTCCCAGGAGTGAATCAGAGGCCTTGACAAGCCTCACCACCACTGAGGCCAAGAAGAGGGCTCACCATGTCCTGAAGTGAAGAGAATTCCATCTCAGACTGGTTTGAGGCAACGGACCGGACCTCAGAATCCTCCAGCTTTGCTCCTGCTATAGAAAGCCCAAGATGAACATGGAGCAGGGCCCCGCCCCGCCCCCGCAAACGGGCTCCGCATTCCCAACAGGAAAACTGCAGGTCCAGAGAGCCACCGTACAGGGCTCGCTCTCACCAGCAGACGTACCGAATTCCTCCTCCCCATCATCCCTCAAAAGCAGCAGGTCCGGGTCCAGGGCCATCTCGCACAGGTCCTCAGAAGCCTCGCCCCGGGGTTTCTCTTCTTCCTCTCCCCCTGAAGAGGGTGGTTTGGGCAAAAGCCCATCCTCCTTCTATGGAGACAGCCCAAGGCAATGAAAAGGAATGTAATTACTGTCATTACTAACAACAGCAGCTAACATACGAGTGTCAACTATGTTCCAGGCACTGTGCTAAGGACAGTGTAGACACAGTCTCATTTAACATATTTCATTCTATTACACAGGATTCAGAACATATCCAGGACATTTCCACACACCTGGGGACTTCCCTCCATCCAAGAAGAAATTATGTTCACTTGATAGTATTGTGTTTTAGAAAACGTTTGGAAAATCTCTAGTTAGCCATCATGCAATCAAATACCCCCACACTTCGGATGTTCTTAGTGACTATAGTGACTGGGATTTCTGTGCTATCAGGGGCTTGTCAGCTACATGCCCCTTCACTTTGCTCTGCCACCTTCCCTTATACTAGGTGCACCCCTGGGCCTCTGATGCCAGAGTAGCATGCAGTGGAAGGGAAGGAGACAACGCGGGAAGCACACAGGCAGTGCCTGGTACTAGCCGCGCTCTAAGTGAGGCGACCTGGTAAGGGTACTAGCTGTGCTCTAAGTGAGGGGGTCCTAGCATTAGCTCTAAGTGAGGCAGTCCTGATACTAGCAGCGCTCTAAGTGAGGGGGTCCTAGCACTAGAGGCACTCTAAGTGAGGGGGTCCTGGCACTAGAGGTGCTCTAAGCAATGTGTTCCTGGCACTAGCAGCGCTCTAAATGATGCGTTATCATTTGTGGTCTTGTACTGAGCAGGGCTGACAGGTACTCACCAGTGGGGTGTCTGACTCGGCAGCTGTGCCCTCACTCTGTACCTCATCCTTGGACTCCTTGGCCACCTCCTCTTTGATGGCTTCTTCTTCCTTGGCCACCTCCTCCTTCTCAGGTTCAGGTGGGGACACAACCTTCTCAGGAAGGCTCAACAGCGTCTTATAAATCCTATAGCCAAAATCCCTCTGGAGCATCTCCAGAAACAGCTCAGCCAATACCACCACCTGTCGGGAGAGGCGCAGGGCCCCTGAGCACCAGAGAAAAGAGCTATCCCAAGCTCCCCAGGGCTCCTGCACCTACCTCAAAAGAGATTCTTTCTTTTGGCCTCCGATCCTCCACAATCGCATGGAGAGAGAGGTTTACACAGCCAGGACGTGCAATGACAGCAGGTTCTAGAGGGGGTGGAGGGGCCTCTGGGAGGTCAGTGTCCATTTCCTGCTGTGTGGTGGCCTCTGGAGTCTCTGCATTCCTTTTAGAAACATCTCCTGCTTGCTCTGCCGCATCAGGTGTCTGTTCAGCAGGCTCTGTTTCCTGCGACAACACCCAAGATGTGAACCTCTGGACCCGAGGGTCAGGGCATCTCCTTACCCCACTTGTCCCCAAGGCTTAGCCTTACCCCTGGGCCTTCCTGGGGTGGGGGAGCTGACTCTGCAGCTTTCTGCTGGCACAGGGCCTCCCACTCTTCCAAGGTAGGCATGATGGTCCAGATATCTGGCAGGTATACCACCACTGTCTGCAGCCGCCGTGGAGGTCCTGGCTGTAGGTACTGAAACTCAGCAAAGCGCCACCTGCACACAGCAAAAGAAAAAGGAAATGCTAACCCCATGACACATGCAGACACCACAGTCACAGGCGAGTGCTTCGGTTTTCCTATCAGCACTAAACTGGCACACACCACAACATGCCAAACTTCAAAAGTCCAACAGGAAAGCTGTAGACAGTGTCCTCAAGATGGTCAG